CGCTGGTAGAGAGATTGCAGTTTGCATCGCATTACGCGTTAAAATGAAATGTGCGCCTGACCCGAGGAAGTAGAAACCTAAGTATACATTCATTAGAATGCGTTTAGCGCTGTCGAAACAAAGCGGACATGGGTCGCCCCACGTTAGACATAAAATTCCTGTCTCTAGAGAAAGATAGTGGAACCCAGATTTTGCAACGGTCAAAGGTTCCCTTTTAATTCTAGCACGAGCTGTAAACATTTCCTAAAGCCAGGCTATGCGCCCAATGTGCTCAACATTAAATTTAAAGGCGTTCCACACCTGCGATTACAGGCCTTTGTCTCGTTTGTTGTTGCCTCTATACCAACGATGCTTACAAAAAATTTCAAAATAGAAGCCCCCTTAAACACAAATAAGCTCGCGCTAACGTCGAGGCCGTGCAACAGCACTGATTTGGATAACGGGATTCGATGATGTTGACTAGCCGCGCCTGACAAGTCATATGCAAGTGTGGTGGAGTGGGTTGGCAATAAGTTTTGGCGAGACCTTAAAACACTCACTATTCCGGACTGCCGACTGTCGGACGGGGTATATCGATGCCACTTGTGGACCTTGACGCACCCTGTGAACTCATCGGCTGGCGGGTTACCCTTCGGACGACTTGGTGATGATGTAGACTTCGACCTGACCGAGGTTGACCTGGGGGAGGCCTCGAGCGGATATGCTTCGGTTGGGGTCCAATGTAGGCGGCCACTCGATTTACTTGGTCGAGAGTGGTCATATAATTAGTTTTCTCAGGTACTGGTAGCGCCTGGCCTTTACTTGTATCAGGGGTGTTTACCGCCTGGCCATTACGTTTCTTCTCGCTTACCACTACGGTATGGAGACCGTAACCTATAGCGGGCTTGAGTGGGGGGGGGCTATTTTACAAACCCATAAGCCCATATACCTCCTGGGGTCCTACTTACGCTTGTGTATAAATGACAACTGTCTTTTCGACGGGTGATCCAAATAGATCCCTGGCCCGCAACAGGTCGGTAGACGTACAATTTCCTTAGCGCACAACACGTCGTGCTACTTAGATCGCAAATTGAGAAGCGTTTAATGTTATCCTACCCTTTTAACTCATTTACTCGATTTATGCCTTGCGCCTGGGTTCGCAGTGGTTAGTGGCTAGGAGCCTACAGACATTGAGGGATCAAGTCACCCTATGAATGATCAAATAGGCCGATGGACGGTCTAGTCGGCTTACAGGTGACCGAGGCTCACCTTAAGTGACCAGGCCGACCGATAGAATTTCAGGTCGGCCTTCGGGGAACTGAGGTCCACCTTGGGCGATCAAGGCGACCGACGAGTGGTTGAGGACGATCCATATCAGTACAGCCGCTCCTTGCCTGTAATCCCCAAGTCTTCTTCGGTCCCACTGCCCGGCCGCGAGGTCCCATGTCCGTCCGGGTCATCGGATCTTAAGTCCACCACTTTCGAATACTCACTTTACCACACACGCCTTTCTGGTAGTACTTAAGGCTTGCATTTGGGGTCTAGTCGCAGTACTTCTTTGTCTAGAACCTCTGCGGGGTACTAACGGAAGCCTTGGTATCACTAAAAGCGTCGTTGCGACGTTCCACCATATCACTGCATTCGCCAGGAAGTGAAAGCGCAGTAGCGAACGCAAAAGAGAATACAAATTACATTCCTCCGAGCTAAACAGGTTCTTGTAGTGTTCATGATTCTGACTACCCGCTCGAGCCCTATCCATAGGCTTGTACTCGGTCTCTTTTAAGACTCGGGCGATCTTGGCGTCTTTTTCAAGTCAAACCCACTGCCCGCCTCCGCTGAATAGATTAGTTCAATTTACAGCTATTATTATCACAAGAACGTAATGACACACTGCGTACCTCTACAGTAACTGGTGCTGCAGGAAGAATTGTAGCAGAAGCAGACGAATCATCGTCTGCCGCGAGAGGCTGGGCATCTTCAAGAGCAGCTGTATTAAAACAATAAGCTGCCTTCTTAGCAACTTTCGCCGTGAAACGCATGGTTTGTTCACCATGCGATGAAAATCCAGAAATGAGTAGATAGAACCCAAAAAGTGCCCCCTGTCCCTAATGTTGTCTTAGGCAACAACATCAAATTGATAGTGACTGAGTGACTAAATTTTTACTCGGGGTGATGTAACGGGGTGAGCCTAGAACAGGTGATTAGCCTCGATACTTGTTAAGTAAAATAAATTTATAAAGCCTGATAATGTTCGTGAATATTTATATGACGAATAAATATTCCGAAGCACTCACCGATTGCCAAATTTAGGCCATCATATCAGCCAGATCTACCGGTCCAATCAGCGATGGACGCGTGCAATGAGTAGAGATCATAACATAAGCATACCGTTCTGTAAGATATCATTATGTAAGACTAAACATAGAAACATGTAATCTTGACGTATCTATAGTAAGTACAGTTTTACTTGCTTCTCCTATAGATAACTTCATTCACTAGCTAGCCTACCTCAGCACGTACTGTATTGAGGCACACTTTGTTTGGGGTGCCGCGAAACTTCACGTACACTAGAACGTGCGGTGAAAAAGCTAATCTACTTAAACAACTCGTTCAAGTAAGGTCAAAAAGAGAGCTAAATTTAATATACTTAATCTATTAATACAACTTCATCTTTATCGAACTGTATCAAACGAACTCGTCGCGTGACGACAACCTGCTCAGTACTCATTTTTTTGCGCAATTCTAGCAGCGGTTGGTGGAAATCTATGGTTGATATGTCTTATCTTAATCAATCTTGGAGCAGCTCATGAATATTATTCAAAAGGGGATAATGCTCCCTCAACATTATCCATCTCGGATAACATTGGTAGAATATTGTCATGCTAGACCATATCTCTATTGACACCGTTTGGTTTCAATTCGTGTAAACGGCTACCCCGTTACATCACCTCCTAACCATCAATCACGCGTTGACTGAATTAGAATTAATTGGGACAGGGTGACCACCATTGGATCACTCTGGGAAAGAGAGCACTTGTTGGTTAAATCCCATTCATTTGCCAATCCAAACCATGGTTTCGAAATACAAGCGAGTTGCTACTGCAGCAGAAAGAGGGTCGGATGCACACATGCGTGCGGCCGCGGAAAGCGCCTCTCACGCTTCAGCAGCAGGCGATTCGTCACCTGCTGCTGTGAACAGTCCACGTGGTGAGTCGCCGCGTGCAACAGGTACATCCGCTGCGTCTGCAGCAGGTACTACGAGTTGTAATCGAGAAAAGTTTGAAATAAAGCTCATTTATTCTGGTGAGTCGGATGATATATCCGACTTGAAGGCGATACCTCACGCCTCCGAAGCACCCGAGGTGGGCACTGCAAGATCCAGGTTGACTGGATCTGCTCAACGTGGTGGCATTATGCTCGAGATCTTCGGATCGACCGTTTGTCCCGACGAATCTACGCCTCGCGCGAGCCCCTCCAACGATAGTAATCGTGGGGATGATGGTAATGCATCTATACATCACCACGAGAGAAGTAATTTTAGGGATCGGGGTTGCACTTGTGCCAGTGCTCATGCTGGCACCAATCAAGAGTCCAGGGACCAGATGTCCTGCGCCACGCTCCCTAAGTGGAGTCTCCGTGGATGCCGTCATCTAAAGAGTTAGATAGAGTGGACGGCATGACTATTGATCGGAATAGAATCCCTTTGCTCGACTATAGAAATATCTTCCCCCCTAATTTCAGCACGGAAATTATCCGTACTGAGAAAGAACATTTACCGATGCATTTTTCAAGCATCGGTGGTGCAATGGCAGCCGTATTCAAGACGATAAGGCCTTGGTGAAAGGATTTTATGTACTCATCCACAACATCGAGTGCATTGGCCTTGAGGCCAGGCTCGCCAAACTCTGATGCAGCTCGCATCAGATTTGAGAAACGCAACCCACGAGAGACAATGTGATTCTGCCTCTCGTGGGGTGATTCGTGTCCAGGTTGCCTGGAAACTAGAACCGTGCCCTTAGGGAGGCCTACCTACCTATTGTTCTCTACTGGAGGGCGCGCATCTCTTATAAGATAAACGGAGGGAATGACACCTTGCAATCCCTGTACTCGCGTTCGGGGAGGTCATTTTCCGACGGCCCTTCTTCAACGCAGCGGGTGGGTCTCGTCGTACTGCTCGACGAGACCAAGGACATCAACAATCAGCTGGGCACGAGGCTCCCAGCTGTCCCACGCCGGTGGATAGGCACGCCAGCGGACGAGGTGACTCGTCCGGACGCCATTCACATCGCGGTGGTTCAAAATACGCTCCACTAGGAAGCAATGACCACCGCTTGAGTCCACCAATGGATGTGGTGGCGGTGGGAACACCTGATCCGGCTCGAGAGTCGCATCAGCTTGACGTTCAAGAGCTGAACCGTGTATCGGAATAGTTGCAAGATGACCTGGCTCACGAACGGACTCGGCGTTATGGGCTTGAGGATCTCGTGAGGGATAATTAAAATTCCCTAACGCACGATCGTTCAATCAATCGTGCCGCGTTAGCGTTCACGTGGCAGAAGAACGAATGTTCTACTCGTTCTCTTCGTGACGAGCTGGCTGCAGCTCGTCGAGACATCGCCCAACTGCGTGAACAGGTCGCTTCGCTAGTCGACAAGACTGGCTCGTTGAAACAGGACTACTCGAAGGTGGTCTCGGCTCTCGACCGCGGAGGTGATCTTCGCATCTCGAAACGGGCTCGAACTGATAGTACTGGCGGAGACGTCCATCGCAAAACTTAAGATGCGTAAGCATCTTACGGGGCATTTTATAATTGTGTTTGCGTTGCCCATTCGGCGCAACACACGAAATGGACCGATAATCTTGGACAGTAATTTACTGCTGCCCACGTTTGTCACTATAAATTTCGGTAGGTTTACTATAGACGGTAAAACTAGGTCTCCTTCATCAAATGAAAGAAAATTTGCTCTTTCATGTTTGTCCGCGTTTGTCTTCTGCTTGTCTATTGCAGCGGCAATTAACTTTTAAGCGAAGCGGACAACAGCTTCGCGAGTCAGTAGAAATTCCTCTGCTGTTTCATCCTTGTCAACAACAGTGCACTTCGTGTGCACTGCTAAAAGAACGTCGTCTTCACCAGTGAGGGCGTCGTCGTCCCTACTGTAGCAGTCGTTAGCGATGCTTATTATGCCAGCATCGTCGTCATCATCGTCATCGGTGTCAATGCTAACGACATCGGAATCCTTCATGTCGACGTCATTGTCGACATGTGATGAGCAAGAAACAGATCGGTCTTGTTCGAGCGAGTCCATTCCTCTTAGACTAGAGTCACACTCTAAGAAGGCTGGAAAACGTATATGACGTAGGCCATTCACGAAAAACGTTGTACGCGTTGTCGACGCATGCACCGATTTGTTGATGATGAATTCCACCATCGGCCAGAACTCACTCCAACTCGTAAACGAGTGGGAAAACCCTCGAAGTATCTCTTCGAGGACGCAGTTGACGCGTTCCGTCGGACCATCTGTTTCGGGATAGTCATGAGTTGACATCGTCAAACGTGTTCCAAGTGAAAGGAGCACGGATTGCCAGAACTTCGCTGCAATTCGGGGGTCCCTATCAGACACGGGTTCACGGGGTAACCCGTGAAGTCGGATGATCGTATCGATGAAGAAACGAGTACAGCCCTGGGCTGTGATTGACTCCGGTGCAGCAACAAGAATAAACATCTTGCTGAACCGATCAACAAACACAAGAAAAATGGTATTCTTGTGGACGTCTTCGGGAAACCCGAAGACGAAGTCCATCGATACGGACTGTTAGCACTCTGCCGGAATAGGTAGAGGATGCAAGGGTGCACGGGAAGAAGGATTAGGCTTCACCCGTTGACAAACTTTGCAAGCGCGAATGTATTTCCGCACAAACTCATACTAGCGGGATCTGTAAAAGTCACGACTCACAGTGAGGTAAGTCTTTTCTCTACCGCGATGCCCACTTGTTGGGGCATCGTGACACTCATACATGATGCGCAATCGAAAATCCTTATGAGCCGGAACGACGACACGAGGTGTTTTGCCGTTGACTGATGTACAGTACATCAGTCCATCACGATCAGGATACCGTTCGGTTAAAGAGCGGTATTGAGAAGACAAGCTTTTCAAGTTTGACTGCACGGATTGGATGCGTAATCCTCCAATCTCAAAAGAGACTCAATTTCTGCGTATGCCTTCCGCACGTCGTCAAGCAGATTCGACGACGAAACACTCACTGTTAGTGTCGTGACAGTGGGATCACCCCTACTGTTGGGATGAGCAGTCGGCTTGAAATCGGGCCGACACGAAAGAGCATCATCGGCGACATTTAGTCGTCCTGTTCTATGCTCGACGGAGAAGTTGCACTCCGCGAAGAAAGACAGCCGCCTCGCCATTCGTTGCGAGAGTTGTGGACTGTTTACGGCCGTGCGTAAAGACGCATGGTCGGTATAATCGATGAAGGCCCTATCTCCTATGAGATATGCCCGAAACTTGACCAGTGCATATTTCATGGCAAGGAGTTCCTTGTCATGCACTGGGTAATTACGCGCATCTGCTTGCAGCTGATGCGATTGATAACCGACGATGCGCTCACCGGCGTCTGCATTGTACTGCATTAACGCCCAGCCGATTGCAAAATCGCTGGCGTCACAGACCACATGATATGGTCTATCGTGATCAGCAATCGCCAAAACAGGCGATTCTACTAAGCTTTTCTTGATGCCTTCAAAAGAGTGCTGACACTCAGCTCTCCATGACCACCTCTTGTTTTTCTTTAGTAGACGAGAGAGATGTAAGTTCATCTCGGCATAGTTGCACGAGTACTTGTGCAAGTACGCCACCAAGCCAAGGAGCTTTCGAAGTCCCTTGACGTCGACTGGCACAGGCCAGTCGCTCATCGCCTTGATCTTTTCCGGATCACGACGTACGCCGTTTTACCCACGTGCAGACAAGAAGTAGTATTTTGTTCGCTGCGTATATGCACTTCTTGTGGTTCGCGAACATATCCTGCTCTCGCATAAGTGTAAGAATCTTCCGGACGTGGATTTTATGAACCTCCACGTCCGTCTTTCCATCCATAGCTCGGCTATGGACGAAATTATCGTTTAAGTAGCTCGGTGCGAAGTCGCGCACCGACCGCAACAAATTTGTAGCACATCAGTTAAACGTGGCGGGGGCGTTACTTAGCCCCTGTGGCATCACTAGCCACTCTTAGAGAATACCACTGGGGGTGCTCACTGCTGTGCAAGGGATATCTTGTTCACGCATGGAGATCTGATTAAATCTATCCATCAAATCCATGGACGAAAAGATGTTAGTATTTGCCATACCATGGTGTCCTTCCTTGGGATCGGCGTTTAAGTTGGTACCTTTGCAGCATTCAATTTGTTGAACGCGTGCACTATGCGCCACCCTCCTGTGGCCTTTCGCACACAGAGGGTAGGAGAGCTATGAAGGATGTTGATTCCCTCACATGACCAGCCGCTAAGCGATAGGCAAATAAATGTCGATCGCCGTGACTTGTTCACGAGGCAGTGGCCACTGCTTCATGCACAGTATTTCGAAGCGGGTTTCAGTTCGATCTCATGCCGAGTGCCTTTGTCTATGGGCAGCTCGCATGGCACGGATTCTGGGAAAACATCCCTCAATTTAACCAAATCCTCAGACAAAGGATTTGTCCTAAAAGACTACAAGATTGAAACGTGTATTGCTCAATCCGGAAGTTCTCATCGAGGACACTCTCGTCCATCGATGAGCTACTGAGAACCCGTTCGTTCTCATCAAACACATGTGCGGACCGAATATCGGCGATGATGTGGCGAAGCGGTCACAATTAGGTTTCTATTGGGACTTGGGTCGGCGATCGCACGGATCGCACGCTCCAGTTAAGCCAAGAATGCTATGATTGGTGGATATAGGCCAGTACGGGTGGCTGACAATATCGTACCCAAACCCCGAGTGAACAGGATCGTACAGCCTGGGCAGAGACTATAAGGTAGTCACATCTGTTTTGATTGCACAATCCGTCATGAGACGTGGCAAGACAAGATACGCGATCTCACTGGAAGACCACGATCCTAACCGAGGATCGCAAGTCCGATCTCAGCTGCGATCCGCTAGTAGGATCACGATCTACTGGAAGGATCACGATGTGCTAGTAGGATCACGATCCGCTAGTAGGATCACGATCCACTGGTAGGATCACGATCCACGATTAGGATCACGATCCGCTAGCAGGATCACGATCCACTGGTAAGATCACGATCCGCTAATAAGATCACGATCCGCTAGTAGGATCATGATCCACTAGCAGGATCATGGGGATATCTTGGTGGGCCACAAGAAGATACAACTGCTGATATACTGGGTGTGGACCACACAAATGCGAGGGGACGATCTTACTGGAAAGCAGACGCATGACATCTGGCTAGGATATACGGACAGGCATAGGGGTAGGGTTTAGGTTGGTTGGTTAACATTAAGCAGAGTTCAGATTACTTCAAAAGGCACACGTTAGCTCTTCCGGGTAGAATATTTTGCCCTTCGCCGAACAAAGAGTCGCGCTACACGTCTACGCAAGTGTCACACCAGGATTGTTTTTGCCAGGTGTGTTCTAGAGCTCTCAAGCGACATCAACTGCGATCGGACGCAGCAAGACACGTAAAGGCCAGGCGTAAGATCGCGAGACGGCTCAAGTGGTCAGAAGGCTCGCGGATCAAGCAACCACATAGTGGACAAGGCGATCTCGTTGAGATTAGGGCAACTATATCAGTACCCACAAGTACCCCGTGATCGCGTGAAGATTTTCGCACGATCACAACCCCATCCCCAACACGGTCAAGTTTTTCCTTCAACACGAGTCCACCTGGAAGAGTGCAACCCGCCCTACCGACGGGTACAAAAGGTGAAGAAGGCAACACACACGGAATCGGAGCACCCCCTCAGTTAGTCGGTCGTCCGGGCGCCAGTGGAGAGTTGGGATCGACTCATAAAATGAGCGATCGCCACTCCACCGCAATGGTGCGCGTGCTCGGATCTTCTGGTGACTCAGGAGTTCACCGTGAGTCCCTAAGTGAAGCAGTAAAAGTCAAGACTGAACCTGGGATGGAAGCGTTAGAGGCAAAGGGATCGCCTCCGACGCGTGGTTTTAAAGGATCCCCGGGTTACGAGAGTTTCGGGAGGGGCTCTGATGACAAGAAAATCATTAAGGAAGATCGATCAATCGATCTGGAAGATAAACCTCGACCCCCTCCTATGTCCCCTTTAAAGACCACCGCGTACCGTGCTGCAAAACACGATCCGCTGGGTGAAGACCCTTTAGCGAAAACTGAACAAAAACTACACAAGATCACTCAGGCAATGTCAAACAAGACGATTTTAAAGACAGATCGAGTAAGTAAAGAAGAGCCCAGATCGTATCGACACGATCGCGGCGTGAAAGCTATCGTGAAACCGATCAAGTTCGTGGACGATGCTCTGGATTTGAAGATGGAAGGCTGGCAGTTGGATCGACTGGCGCAGGGATTCCATTGGAAGGCGCTCAAGAATATGCTATCGAGCGACCCCGTGCTACGGATACTTAATCCTAAGCTAATCGGAGAGATACAAGGCCCGATATCCCGGCCGAAGGTGGCGACTAACGCAGTAGAAGGGATCGGCGCGATCATCCAGCTGCTGCAAGATGCTGGATACGTCGCTAAGGCGTTCTATGCGAACGAACAGCGGGAATGCGATCAGGATCAGGTGATCCATACGTGTCGATCGCTGTATGACAAGCAAATTCCTCTGACGGGATAGTGCAAATCCGCGGATCAAGCGGTTGCCACGGTCACCGATGCCCCGAGGGGGCATCGTACCGGATCGTCACAATATGACTCGGTGGAATCAGAGATGGAGTCGTACGATTCCGTCGGCATAGAGCGAATGTCTCTAGACCCAAGTGGTGCAACACATCTACGCGATCGAGTCGAGTCAGTGAAGCTAAATTGGCGATCGAAAGCCACAGGCGCTAAAGAGCAGATGACGACTACTACGCAAGGACGCCTGCAGACATACCTCGGTGAGGCCATGGAAAGTACTCACCAAGATCAACGGGGACGAGCGTATCACGCGATCTACCCTGGCCAAATGATCAAGCCTGCTTGATCCCATGAGAGATATATTCCCGATGTGGAGATGGAACTGGTGCAGTCGCGCATCAGTCAATCGGAGATTTTCGACCCTGACGACATCGATCCCGATAATTCGGGACAAGAAGATCGTAGACACGCTATGGATTTTACGAACGAGACGTTGCAAGATGGTGGTAGCATACCTCAACGCATTAGAGTGTCGGCGATGACCGAGCTGAAAGAATTCAGTCGCAAGGATCGAGATGAAGATCGGGCCAGAAGCTGGATCAGCAAGGTCAAATCGGCCTTCTTGCGCGATCAAACACCCGATGAGGAGAAATGTTTGGTGCTTGGAGATCTGCTTACAGGACCCCTCGAAACTGTTATAACCAATTAGGTCGATTCACGAGAAAGAAATGGAAGAGATTGCTGGATGAGTTTTTGTACAGTATGGAGGGCAAGGTGTATCTCTGGTCAGACAATACTGTCTTGCACGAAAACGATCGCATAAATATTTAAAGGATCCTCAACACTGCCTAAATGTCGCGGCTAAGCATGCCAAGATCGCGATCAGAGACGAGAGGATGGCCACATCGGACACACGTCGTGAACATGTGGAACGTTTCATTGCTACGTTGGACGATCGTGATCTGCCCAAGCAGCTGACCCTACTACGATTGGCCAATGTCAACGAGTTGCATGAGACGTTACGTGCATACCAAAGGATGGAGAGTCGTCAGTTGAAGATGTCTACAGGATCGAACAAGTTTTACCAGCGAGCGAATGCCTCCTTAAATCCTACGTCATCGAAGACTGCTCGGGCAGTGAGGGCAATCCGTGAGCGGATCGAAAAATGTGGATCGGAATCGGACTCGTTTGGATCGGATGAAAACAAATATCGCCGCCGAGTTTGTGTGACAACTACATGTGGTCAAGAGATATCGGATCAAGATCATCGTACCTGGCAGAAGAATAGTGGTGAAGAAGATGGACGTGATCGAGGTGGAAAACCGAAGGCATGCACCCACTGCGGATCGACGCGACGTGATGATCGTGGATGCTGGCGTAGACTAACGTGCCAGAAGCGCGGTCGCAAAGGGAATCCGTTGGATAAATGTTTCTATGTGTAGCAGCATGTGAAGAGGTACATTCGAATGGCAAATACCCCATGGAAGAGTTCTTTAACTTAATCCACCAGTGGTATGTGCCTAATAAGCATGCGGGTATGTTTCCTCCAAAGGTCGAATAGATGTTTGACTAGAGCGCTCGCCAGGTTGGAATCTGGCACGAGCCGAGCGCTCTGGACTGTGCATAGATTCATTTGTTGATAAGAAGTCGGATGACCAAGGAGTTAAGGATCGGCGCGATCCGCTCTCTAATATGCGTGATCGTTCAAAACACACCTCTATAATATCAAGTGTGATGCAAGTGGACTATTTTTTTCGATCCCCGATGGAGATGGAGATCGATCTCACCCCAGGTGAGTCGAGGGGATACTGGAAGTATCACACTCCGCAAATTTGGTTCAAACAAGCGAAAGAAGTGGGCGAGATCAACAATGAGATGGCCACTTTTCTGTTTGACTCTAGTGCGGCAATCTCGAATATCGACACAACCTCTGCTCGTAAGGTTGGGTGTGTGATAGACGAGAACCAAACACAAGAATGGGTTGGGATCAAAGAGATTACTTATATGACGGTGGGACGGACCAAGATCAAGATCACACTGAATGGATCACTAGTGTATTATTTTAATGTCTGGGTTGGGTTCAAGTCGGTCAAGAAGCTATACTAGGCATGGACTTCATGGTTCCTGCGTTTGGATTTGGCCGACGGAACCCTTTGCCTGCCCTACGAAGTTCTGCCTGGCTGAAAAAAGACCACCGTACTGATCAAAAAAATCGGCGGTCAACATTATAGATCAACATATAGCCATTGCGGCCGGCAAATCGGCAGAAGTCAGGATCGGCGTCAACCTCCTAAATCTAAGCTTTGGGTGCGACGGCATGTGGCGTGGATTCCTACCGTGAAGGATGGCCCCGGAAGTTTAAAATTCCTGCAGCTTACAAATGTAAGCGATCGTGACTTGATCTTAAACTGCGGGGCCCCTTTAGCGTTGTGGATGACAGAAAACATGATCCCGCGATCTAAAGATAAGTATCTGTAGCATCGCGGCGGTATATGGAATGGCAGACATTGGCTTTTAAAGCACAACTGATCGAGAAGAATTAAAAGCCGAAGCCTGCACGGGCCCGTTGGTGGATCATCCTACGAATGAGATACCTACCCAAATTTTGACACGCTTAAAACGGAGATCAGACGACATCAAGGTTTCTGCAGATATCGCCTCACTATCCAACTCTAATAGTGACTCTAATGAGGAGTTGCAGGACGAATGCACGAGCGGAAAGAATAATGAAGACAAGAAAGATAGATCGACAATGAGATTATGTGCGGTCAACGCAGTGCGGAAGACGCCAGAACATTCGGGTGAAGAGAACATGGTTGCAGAGGAAGCTATGACACCGAAAGACAACCATGAGACAACTGATCCGTTATAAGTACAGTCCAACTGTCACCCAGACGAGATCAAGTTTGATGATCGGGAGGTGTATGGCTAGTCTACACGACTGGATGTGAATGTGAAAGCTGTTACGATCGACGGCGAAGTGATGAAATATGATGTACCGGATAGATCAACATACTACCGCGAGGGAGGTGAACTGTTCGCGAAAGATGTAGAACAACACATGGCTGTGCTGCCGGAGGTAATTATATCCACGACCGAGAGGACAATAGACGATGTCCAGGTTGGCGATTCTGGAATACCATTGACAGATGATCAAGAGGGTTTGCGACGACTGATATGGAGGAGTCGTCACCTGTTAATCGGGAAAGGAAACGCATTACCCCCTGTAGCATGCGGGGCCGTTTGTGATTTTGATGTGGAAGAGACGAGGCCGATCGTTCGCCGTGTACGACCTGTTGCGCCAACGTTTCGTGAGAAGGTGGCCGATCTGATTTAATCCCTGTTGACAGCCAATATTATCCGACCTTCGACATCGCCGTGGGCATCACCAAATGAAGAAGATATCCGATTGTGTAACGACTATCCACGAATTGATCAGTTAACACAGTTGATGGTGTACCCTATGCCACTTATTACGTGAATCGTTGCAGGACATGGACACGACAATGTGATATTGTTCGCTGGACATGGCGAGTGGAGTTTGGGTGGTAAAGACGACTGAACGAGGAAGATCGATCTCTGCATTTATCACGCTGTCAGGCTTGTTTAAATGATTGCGGATGCCTTTTGAATTGTAGAACGCCCCACAGATCTAACAGCGTTTGATTGATAATGCTCTACATGGTTATCTCAAGATCGGCACAGATAAGGATGAAAATGCAATGGTTCATCCTAAGTTAACTGATGTCTTTACTGAGGGAGAGCCGGAAACGGATTAAGCGCCGTCAGTGCTGGGTAGGCGACCATGTATTGACGATATATTGATCCCGGCTACGGCATAGACATCGTTTTACGACAAGTTCGAGAATAAATTGACAGCATGCGATCGATGGAATTTGTCGATCAGTCTGACAAAGCGTTTTTAAGGACGGCGTAAGGTGGATTACTTAGGTCTTCAGGTACCTTTGGCTGGGTTGGAGGCCAATCCTAACGATCAAGAATCGCTGGTCAACATTTCTTTTTCCACAACTTTGCGATCCATGCAATCGTTCCTGGGTAGATTGAACTATTACTGTCGTTTTTAGAAGATTTTGCAGCACATGCATCTGTGTCGTACGAGTTACGAGAGGCGGATTTTTTTTGGTGAGCCATATGGGAGATCATGATGCGATGTCGGAAAGTTGCGATAATACATTACAAGGGGTGAGCATAATCCAAATGAGTGATCTCGGTGGGAAAGGGCCACCATTGCAAACACTTTGCTGAAGTACAAGATCGCTACAACCCCGATCCTTAAACATTTCGATCCAGATCGACTTCCAGTGATCGTGGTGTATGCTAGTAAATGGGCAGTATCGGCATCTCTGTTGAAGGAATATGACGGCGTGTACTGGCCGGTGACATTCACGAGTCGCACACTGAATCCTAATGAAGTTGATTAAGGTATGGTGGAGAAATAATTTTAGCCCTACCTCGAATATTGGAAGTGTGCTACACCATGCTTGTATCCCGAGAGATCAGGGTGTTCACTCGATATTCGACATTAGCTTGGCTTGTTCAATCTTGACATCTATGGGAGACTGGGAAGATGGGATGCGCTGCTATCAAATTGGACACTGGAGGTCAAGAGATGTAACAAAGGAGAAGATGAAATGCTAGGCGCTCTCGCAGCTAGTATAATTCCGCGAGATGAGGTAGGTGATGTGTTTATTGCGATCGATCCACAGAAAAAACCGAAACAATCGTTGTCTATGCTACCTCCAACGGTAGGTACGGATGAATTCCTGTTGGTGATCAGTTTCGACGGATCGGCACGGACTAAACGAAGGAGCGGGGAATATTGTGCAATCGTGTGGAGGTTAAAGAATGGACCATCGTCTCAGCCACTTCGGAATACGCGGCAGAGCTGACGGTGAATGCAGCAGAATATCGTGGCATGTTGTTGGGTCTTGATCTGCTGGTAACCAAATTAAGGGACGAGTCATTACATGTGGTGAC